TATGAAAAGAGATTGGAAAATAGTCTAATACAAAATAAAACTTGCTGCTGTTATTGAACACACACATGTATCTATGTTTACGCGAAATGGTCTCCTTCCATACATAAAATTATAAACATACCAGTGCCTTAGTATATACATACACGCAAACGCATACACACACACACGCATATGCACACACACATACACATACATATATTTGCAAACATACATGCACAAAAAGTATTTGACTACCCTTACAGGAATGAAATGAATACCAATGAAAGGAAGAAGCGAATGTGAATGTAGTAAGTTTGGAAAGTAAGAGTAGCATGGACAGGTTGTCATTATTTGTATATAAAGGAACGCTCGGCCACCGATGGTATAGATCATCACGATGAAACTCCTGGTAAGTATGGTTTCAGAATTATACAGTTCAAAAAGTAAGTGAGAGGAAATGCCGCATAATAATCCGTGTTATTAAACAAAGTATGAATTTCAATGCACATATATTTGCAGGTTCTAATCTTGTCTGTGATTGCCGGTGTCATCGCCAAGCCTCAGGGCTATAATTTGACTCCACCTTCCGGCCCATCTTTACCTACACGAAGATGTAGCAACGGACAAGTGTTACATGTGGATGGTAGATGTGTAACTCCAAGAGTCAACCGTCGTGTATTCTTGTATGATGTGCCAAGAACTCCCACGCCAGTGGGTCCTCCACCTTTCATCCCTGCACCAACCGTGGAGACTAACCTGTTGTTCATCCGAACTCCCGAAGGAGGACAAGGGCCAGATCCCATTGTTGTACCTCCTCCGCAGCAGGAGCACGTCGTGTACATCCTCAATAAACAGTCTGAAGAAGGTCAAAAGGTGATCGAAGTCCCAGCACCGCCACCTTCCGATCCTGAAGTGTACTTCGTTAACTACGCTGAAGGAGAGAATCCAACTCTTCCAAGTGGAGTGGATCTGCAGACTGCCTTGGATGCAGCTTCGGCTGGAAGTGGTCAGGTGGTTGGGAGTTCTGCAGGCTTCGGAAACGATGCGGCTGGGATAAATGGTGGTTTCGATAACAGCAATGGTTTCGGATTTAGCAACGGTTTGGGAAGCAGGAATGATTTCGGAAGTAGCAGCGGTTTCGGAAGAAACAGTGGTTTCGGAAGTAGCAGTGGTTTCGGAAGCAGCAGTGGTTTTGGAAGTAGCAGTGGTTTCGGAAGCAGCGAGGGTTTCGGAAGTAGCAGTGCTTTCGGAAGCAGCAATGGTTTTGGAAGTAGCAGTGCTTTCGGAAGCAGCAACGGTTTTGGAAGGAGCAGTACTTTCGGAAGCGGCAGTGCTAGTCTTGGAAACAGCAATGGTTCCGGAGTCAGCGGTGCTTCCGGAAGCAGCAGTGGCTTCGGAAGCAACAATGGTTTCGGAAGCAGCGGTGGTTTCGGAAGTGGCATTGGTTTCGGAAGTGGCATTGGTTTCGGAAGCAGCAGCAGTTTTGGTACAGATAGTAGTCTTGGAAGCAGCAATGGTTTTGGAATTAACGGTGGTTTCGGAGGCAGTAACAGTTTTGGAAGCGGCACTGGTTTTCCAAGCAGCAGTGGTCTCGGAGGGAGTAATGGTTTCGGAAGTATTACTGATTTTTCATCAAGAAATAATGGCGGATTCAGCAGTGGCAGTGTCAGTGGTGCTGAAATCAGCAGCTTGTCAGGGACTGGTCACGCACCAACGCTGCCCAGTCTGTACACAACACCTTAACAAGGCCATTCATACAGAAAAGCCAGTGATGTTAAATCTTGGAAATATATTTTTGTAAAAATCTGTCAATCTAAATAAATCACAAAATGAACATTAAATGTTAAAGCTTCCTCCTTCTTTGAAAGATTTTAATATAAATGTGTGTGTAATTCATAACTTTCGATGGATCTTTTGTGTATAGACTGAGAGACAAATATACATATATACATATATGTAGCTTTATGCACATACACACATGCAGACAAACACACAAACACATATATATGTTTATATATGTATGCGTGCACATATACGTACACGTGTGTGTATGTATATATATAATATATATGTAATGTATATGTACTGTATATATAATGTATATATACTGTTTATATACTTATTTATTTATATATATGCATGTATATATATGTATATATACAATTATATACATATGTATATATGTATAGATGGATGTATATGTGCCCACACACATATATATGTGCGTAAACATATATATATATATAATATATATATATATAATATATATATATATAATATATATGTAATGTATATGTACTGTATATATAATGTATATATACTGTTTATATACTTATTTATTTATATATATGCATGTATATATATGTATATATACAATTATATACATATGTATATATGTATAGATGGATGTATATGTGCCCACACACATATATATGTGCGTAAACATATATATATATATATATATATATTATATATATATATATAATATATATATATATATATATATTATATATATATATATTATATATATATGTATATATATATAATATATATGTAATGTATATGTACTGTATATATAATGTATATATACTGTTTATATACTTATTTATTTATATATATGCATGTATATATATGTATATATACAATTATATACATATGTATATATGTATAGATGGATGTATATGTGCCCACACACATATATATGTGCGTAAACATATATATATATATATATATATATATATATATATATATATATATGTGTGTGTGTGTGTGTGTGTGTGTGTGTAAGATGGAAGACTGCAGTATATAACCCCATATACCCTCCCTGATAATGATTCGAACCCACACTTAAAGGACGCCAAACACAAGAGAAAACGCTACCCCCAAACGTTGGGAGTTATTTAGAAAATCTTTTACAATAACAGGTTACTGAAGTTAACGTATTTTATAGAGAAATTTGCACAACCTCCCTGGCAAGGAATTCAAACCCACTCTCACAAGGCGGCAATCACCGGCTTTTTAGTGTAGATGCAGTCACCTAGAATGAAATAAAGACGAAAATGTTTTCCGTAAAAATACCGGAAACAAAGTAAATATCTTTAGTTGATACAGTATAAATGTACTTACAAATTGATATGAATATCAATTTGTAAGTACATTTATTTTTATTATGAAGCTAATCAGGACTAAAACATGCATTGCTGAATGATCTTTATACATTTTTTTTTCACTCTCCCTCCGTACAAGCATATGCATATAGGTGTGTGTGTGTGTATATTCTTTATATATTCATTTATAAAAGGACACAAACTCTCGTTTAAACATTCACAGACATACAACCATGCATAAATACGAATTTATAAAATTTAAACATCTAGTGAAAAGTATAGTGACATTAACTTACTAAAAATACTCGCCCAATCCTACATGAATGAAATGAATACCGATGAAATGAAGAAGCGAAAGTGAATGTAGTAAGTTCGGTAAGAAAGAGTGATATGAATAGCTTGTGAGTTTTTGTATATAAAGAAACACTTGTTAAATTTTCATGTGAATAAATCGGATACCGAACTTCCATGTGTATGAACTTCATCCTTCTTTCATTATATATATATAATGTAGTATCATAATAGAAAGTACAGACTACATACATATTTATATTCATACATACATACATATGTGTGTGTAACACGACTATCTATTGAATGTATATCATATGCATCTACATGTGTATGTGTATATATTTTCATAAATATATATAATATATACACATATATGTGTACATTTATATATGATATTTATATATGTGCATATGTATAAAACATATATGTGTGTATGCGTGCACGCGCGCACACACACACGCACACACACACTCACACACACACGCACACATACACACACACACACACACACATATATATATATATATATATATATATATATATATATGCTTATATACATGTATATCCATATATATATATATATATATATATATATATATATATATATATATATATATATATATATATATATATATATATATATATTCATATAGATATATATATATATCCGTATATCTATATATATAGGAAAGTAGATAGATAAATAGATAAATAGATCTCATATATATATACTTACACAAACGCACACACGTTATGTCGATATGTATCCGTGATATAAACATATCAATATCATCACACACGCATATCCATACATATTGGCATATCCCTTAGGTAGGGAAGGACCTGTTTTGACTATTCTCATTTAGTTTAGCAAAATAGAAATACAGAGAAAGAAATGGATACCGTTGTGCGCAGCTTTAAAAAAGGATAATGTTTACACGAGTATGAAACATTTACAAAGCCGAATATATGAGATATGAAAAGTTGTGGCATGGCATGGACAGCTACACAGAAAACTAATGTTAGAAAATTATGCAAAGCATTCTGACACAAACAGCGAAACTTTTTAAGGTATATTGTTAACTCTAGGAAATTGTTTGTACCCCTGATTTTCCAACTAATTTTGGGAAATCACGAATTAAGATGTTATAGATTCGCAGGTAATTTATAATATGATGGTATAATACTTTGTCACTAATCAATTAGTGTATATACTTACGAGCGTATATATGTATGTACAACACACACACACACACACACACACACATACACACACACACACACACACATACACACACACACACACACACATATATATATATATATATATATATATATATATATATATATATAATGTATGATATGAATACAATAAGTATACTTATGTACAAACTCTCCCCCCCCCCTTTCGGCTTGGGTATACACACTTATCAGCGAAATGAAACCTGCTTAAAACAGGATTTCATATTAAAATGTACAAGACTAGAATGAAATGGATACTAATAGACGGAAGAGGGGAAAGTAAGACTGTGATTGTAATAATCTATTAAAGTGAGAGGACAGTTTATGACATGTGGTATATAAAGCGTCTGTCAAACATGTGGAGCAAAGTTCTTCACG